CAAAGCATTTTTGGCAGATCCGGCACTCGTACGGCGTCTCCTTTGTGTGGGTCCTCAGGTGGGCAACGATGGCAGATTTGCCCCGGAAGCATTTGGGACAGAAGGCACATTGGAAGGGCTTCTCCCCTGTGTGGATCTTCTTATGCTGAACTAGGCCGGCGTTCTGCGAAAAAGTCTTCCCGCACTCGGGGCAGACATAGGGCCTCTCTCCCGTGTGGGACCGCCGGTGCTTCCGTAGGGATGACGTGTCGCTGAAGCTCTTGGTACAGTCCTGGCATTTGTATGGCTTCTCACCTGTGTGGATTCTCTCGTGTACTATCAAGTTAGTGCGGTGACGGAAAGTCTTCCCACAAGCTGAGCAGGGGTATGGCCGCTCTTCCGTATGGATCCGCCGGTGAACGTGAAAAGCCGACATGTTTCGGAAGCCCCTCCCACAGTCGGGACATTTGTGCGGCTTCTCACCAGTGTGGATCCTCAGGTGCCGAACAAGATCGTACCTGTGGAGGAAGCTTTGTCCACACTCTTGGCACTGATGGGGCTTCTCTCCAGTGTGTATCTTCTGGTGGGACACGAGCCCTGCTTTCTTGCTGAAGCTCTGACCACACTCGGCGCAAACAAAGGGTTTGTCCTGCGTGTGGGTTTTTTCATGCGCCACAAGAAGAGATCGCTGAATGAAGCTCTTCCCGCACTCTGCGCAATTGAAAGGTTTCACTCCTGTGTGGGTACTCTGGTGTGCCACTAGGGCATCGATGCCGGTGAAGGCCTCCCCGCAATCCCAGCATGTGTACGGATTCTCCACAGAAGCTGGGTGAAAACGAATGGTTTCAACTACTTTGCTACTGGGATAAGGCTTTGGCTGACTTGCAGAAGCTTCGCCTTTGTTAAGATTCTGGAAGATGGGCTCTTTCCGTTTTCCTGGCAGGATCCAAGGGACTTCAAACGCACTAGAACTTACTGGCAGATTCTTCTCCTTCCAAAACGACCTCCCATCACCTGCTGGATTAAGGGAGAGAATCCTTACAGAGCTGGATTTCAATTTGCCAAAAGGAAAGAAAGTTTTAGGTTGGATTACAACGAAAAGGGAAAAAAACAGCCATAATTGCTTAAGCATTTTACTTCACCTGCTATTAAACTAGGTTAAACTACATCAGATCTTATATTAGTTTTATCTCCTACTCTCTGGGTGCAAATAGTGGAGACAAGTTCCATCTCTACACACACGCACACATGGCATCCAATCTCTTCCAAAAAGATACAGAGCGTATACTAAAAGTTATACTACCTTGTATTTAAATAGGATAATTTGCAATATTGCAATAATAACAGGGTGGATGGGGGAAGGATGCCATCAATAGCCAGTAAAACTCATTGTAATTTTAAATAGTACACTTTTAAAATTGTTACCAGCGAAGAGAACTCTGTTTCAATAATCAGTGTCAATGCATATTATTCTAACACGCCAATCATCCCTCTTCTGAAATATCCTTTGATCTTCTGGGGAGGCCTTGCTCTCGGTCTCACCACCTTCGCAGGCGCAACTGTTGGGGATGAGATAGAGCCTTCTCAGTGGTGGCTCCTTAGCTGTGGAACTTCTTCCCTAGTGGGATTCGATTGGCCCCTTTCTTCCTGTCATTTTGCGAAAATTTGGCTCTTAGAGCAAGAATTTGGCCCAGCATAATTATCTGTGAAATACAGTTGGAATTGACCCTAGATTGATGGATCTATGCACAATAGTCATATGTTGTTTTAATGTTGTTTAAAATTGTTTAATTACTTTTAATTGTTGTTGTTCGAACATGGAATAATGCAAATTATGTAAGCCGCCCTGAGTCACTTTCGGGGTGAGAAGGGCGGGATATAAATGCTGTAAATAAATACATAAATAAAGAATTCATCTTGAGCGTATGTGATTCTTTTCAAGGCTGGATCTGGCATTAGGCACTGTGAAGCAGCTGCCTAATGACATTAGAAGGGACAGAAAGTTGTTACTGAACCTGTGCTTTTATTGTTTGGGATGGGGAAAGGTGTATTTTTCTTTCACGTAGATCAAAATAATAACAGATTGCTTGGGTTACAACACTGAACAGGACAGTGAGTACAATGCAGCTCTGGTTCCTCTCTAGCTTTGTGAACCGGCATGGGATCAATTCATCTACAACCTCCTGCACAATGCTTAATCGTGTCAGAAAAAGGAGCTGCAATTCCCAATCTCACCGGGCAAGAGCCATAATGACTAAAGGGTTCTGTAGTTCAAAAAGTAACTCCAAGTTCTGGTTGGACCTGAGAAATGAGGGGTGGTAGTGGCAGCGCTCCATGCAGTCATGCCGGCCACATGACCTTGGAGGTGTCTATGGACAATGCCGGCTCTTTGGCTTAGAAATGGAGATGAGCACCAACTCCCCAAGAGTCGGACACAACTGGACTTAACGTCAGGGGAAAACCATTACCTTTACCTACTTTCCCAGGCACTCATTTTAAGTTCCTTTGTGATGACAGTGACATTATTTTCCCATATGGAAGCCACTGGTTCTTCTAATTTTTTTCTAATTTTTCCATGAACACTTACAGCATAAATATTACACAGCAAAGTTCAAACAGAATACAGAAATCCACAATTAGGTAAGTGATAATCGAGCCATGATTGCTGGGGCAGAAAAGTTTGGTTGAAGAACCAGGTTTTAAGAAATCCAAGGTGAAGGTGAAGGTGACTCAGAGGAGAAGGCATTCCACAATCAGTGCCACAGAGGATGATGTATCTTAATGTGTCTCCCTGAAATGAAGTGCTTAAAGGAACAGCTACCCTTATTCATACCTAATTATGCCAAAAAGCCCTCTTCTGTGATCACAGAAGAGGGCTTTTTGGCTCAACTGGGTATGTATAGGGGTAGCTGTTCCTTTAAGCACTGAAGCCTTGTCCTATTTAGGGCTGTAAATATCATCCCCAACATCTTAAATGTGCACTTGAAAGCATATTGCCAACCGGTGAAGTTCCTTTCAACATAGCAGCATATGGTTCCTACGTCTTGACAGCTCTCTCTCATGACTAAGGCCCCATCTACATATAAAATAAAATCCAGATTATCTGCTTTGAACTGGGTTATATGACAGCGTAGACCAGGGGTCCTCAAACCTTTTAAACAGAGGGCCAGGTCACAGCCCCTCAAACTGCTGAAGGGCCGGATTATAATTTGAAAAAAACATGAATTCCTATGCACACTGCACATATCTTATTTGTAGTGCAAAAAACACCTTAAAAGAATACAGTAATTAAAATGAAGAACAATTTTGACAAATATAAACTTATAAGTATTTCAATAGGAAGTGTGGGCCTGCTTTTGGCTGATGAGATAGGGTTGTTGTTGTTGTTGTGTGCTTTCAAGTTGTTTCAGACTTAGGTTGACCCTGAGCAAGGGCCGGGTAAATGAGGGCCTGGCTTTAGTTTGAGGACCCCTGGCGTAGACTCATATAATCCAGTCCAAAGCAGATGCGGATTATCTGCTTTGATAATCTGGATTACATGGCAGTGTAGAAGGGGCTTTAGAAGCAACCTGCTTCAAGGGTGTCACATATAGAGTGCAGTCTGTTGGTTCAACATTAACTCAGAGGTTCTTGAACTATTGTATATCATGAGCAACTTCCATGTGGTCTGTAGAAAGGCTGAAGAATAATCCAGAGTATAGTAGGTCTTCTATTTTTGCTGAGATCGGGGCACAGTACCCCTGCAAAAGTGGGGGGGGGGGGATTCATTTTTTAAAACTTGTGAGAACACCTCTATAGAAATCTCTAGGTCCTCCAAGGTGGCTCAGTGGTCAGCTTCCACTAGAGCAGTGTTTCTCAACCTTCCTAATGCCGCGACCCCTTAATGTTGTGGTGACCCCCAAGCATAACATTATTTTCGTTGCTGCTTCATAACTCAAAATTAGAGTTATATTAGAGTTACATTACTACTCTTATCTGAGATGCAGGATGGATATTAATTTACTGGAACAAATTTGGCACAAATACCCCATACGCCCAAATTTGAATACTGGTGGGGTTGGCGGGGGATTGATTTTGTCATTTGGGAGTTGTAGTTGCTGGGATTTATAGTTAACCTACAATCGGAGAACATTCTGAACTCCACCAGCAATAGTATTGGGCCAAAGTTCCCACACAGAACTCCCACGACCTTGAGTTTTGGATTTGCAGTTCACCTACATTCAGAGAGCACCGTGGACTCAAACAATGATGGATCTGGACCAAACTTGGCATGAATACTCAATATACCCAAATGTGAACACTGGTGGAGTTTGGGGAAAATAGACCTTGACATTTAGGAGTTGCAGTTGCTGGGATTTATAGTTCACCTACAATCAAAGAGCATCTTGAACCCCACCAGCGATGGAATTGAACCAATCTTAGCACACATAACCCCCATGACCAACAAATGCTGTGTTTTCTGATAGTCTTTGGAGACCCCTCTGACACCCCCTTGCGACCCCTTAGGGGTCCCGACCCCCAGATTGAGAAACAATGCTCTAGGTCCCCCAAGGTGACTCAGTGGTCAGCTTCCACTAGAGCAGTGGTTCTCAACCTTGGGTCCCCAGATGTTTTTGGCCTTCAACTCCCAGAAATCCTGACAGCTGGTAAACTGGCTGGGATTTCTGGAAGTTGTAGGCAAAAAACATCTGGGGACCCCAGGTTGAGAACCACTGCACTAGAGGTTGACCAGCTTCTGCCAGAGGTTGAATGTAGAACAGTTGTTTTCAACCTGTGGATCCCCAGATGTTTTGGCCTTAAATTCCCAAAAAGCTTAACAGCTGGTAAACTGGCTGGGATTTCTGGGAGCTGTAGACCAAAACACCTGGGGCCCCACAGGTTGAGATCCATTGTGCTATGGCTTGGTGCTTTGCCATGAGATTCTCAGGTAAGAGACCAGGTATAAATCTCTTATTCAACAGTGTGAAGTCTGGGTGTGTGAGCAAACGAAAGATGTCATGAACAGACAGTCGACTCCAATATCCAAATGAGAAAAGACTTTATTAAATGTGGAGGAAAGAAGAATAAAACAAGGATACAATCTAAAAGGATGCAACAAAGAAGCTTCTACAAAGCTGATACTAAATCACTATAAGCTGTTCCTTAATGTACATTCTAAAGCCTAGATGTAAAAAAAAAAAAAAGCAAGCTGAAGGCAAAACGTTTAATAAAAAATACATATCTTGAGGCAAAGGCAAGGTTGGAGGAAACGAGCAGGTAAAGGGAATCTCTCCATTCAAAAGCTAGTAGGGGAGCAATCCCCTGCATAAGTGGTCAGCTGCAGTTGACCCTCCATGTCCATGGATTCAATCATCCATACTTTTGATTTTTTTTTTAAAAAACCACCCAAAAAGCAAACTTTGATTTTGCAATGCCAGTGTATACCATGGGAACTGAGCATTGATGGATCTGGGTGTCCGCCGGGGACCTGCGAATACCAAGGGTACTAATACCTGCCAAGGTAAGGAAGGTGTTGAGGGCAGCACTAAGTTTTGGTGGATCCTCCATATCTTACTTCAATGCCACTCGCACCATTCTCCTGGTATCGCTGGATGGTGCCTCATTCAGTTAACCTTTCCTATTGTGCAATGGGTTAAAAACCCTTGTGCTGGCGGGACTGCTGACCGAAAGGTCGGTGGTTTGAATCCGGGGAGCGGGGTGAGCTCCCGTCTGTCAGCTCCAGCTTCCCATGTGGGGATATGAGAGGAGCCTCACACAGGATGGTAAAACATGTCGTTCCTGACATGAAAAAAACAAAAACTGGATAGCCACACTTAGGTGGTAGCAGCTTCATTCTAGAACCAGGCTTTTTGGTCACTCGGTTCCATTCTGTAGCAGCTGGCGGCCATCTTAAGATTGGCTCCTTAGGTAACATAAACATTGTGAATTGAATTCTGGGGGGTTCAAAACAGCAGTATCTTACCAAGAAATGCTGCAAGAAGGTCATAATAGGTCACTGGGTTTTTTTTTAAATGACCTTCAATACATTAAACATTATCAGAGTCCGTTTTCGAAAGTCATACTCTCATCATAACTACATTTCATGGTTTGCATCCATCATAAATGGCCTGATTCGCTATAAAACAGAACAAATATTAATGAAATAATGAAAAATCGATGGAAGGGGACACACAGGGTAAAAATATTCTTGATCATATTAATCCTAATGTGATCAATATTGGGTTGCTGTGAGTTTTCCAGGCTGTGTTGGCCATGTTCCAGAAGCATTCTCTCCTGATGTTGCGCCCACATCTATGGCAGGCATCCTCAGAGGTTGTGAGGTCTGTTGGAAACTAGGCAAGTGAACAAACTGCAAATGGAATAATATAGATAAAATTGAAAAGGTTACAATAACTAAGAGGATGTGGGAACCAGTTAGGAATTATTTAGAGAATGTTTTAAGATGTGGAGTAGAAAAATTAAGACTGAGACTGATATTTCAAATGTAACTTCTGTAGTTTGATGTATAAATGGCATGTACAAGGAGGGGAGGGTGGGAGTGGGAAAAACCAATAAAACAATAAAAAAAAAGGAAACTAGGCAAGTGGGGTTTGTATATCTGTGGAATAATTTCCTGGCTGCTTGAGGCAAGTGTGAATGTTGCAAATGGCCACCTTGATTAGAATTGGATTGCCTTGCAGATTCAAAGCCTGGCTGCTTCCTGCCTGGGGGAATCCTTTGTTGGGAGGTATTAGCTGGCCCTGATTGATTCATGCCTGGAATTCCCCTGCTTTTTGAGTGTTCCTCTTTATTTACTGTCCTGATTTTAGAGTTTGTTTTAAATACAGGTAGCCAGATTTTGTCCAATAACATGCTACATTCAGTAAAGGACAAGAGGGATCCTTTCACCTCTACAGGAGTCTATATCGTGCAGCTGTGGACTAGTTTGTCAGAAATATTAAATATTAACTGTGTATTTTTGATGACAAAGGTGGCCTTCTATTTAACACTATCTAACACTGAAAGAGTTAGTGGGCCAAAGCTAGCATCGCTCTGAGGAGACTGTGTAGACCGAAGCCTGTTAGTATTAGTTTGCCTCAGTGAGGGAACGCCTCAGTCAGTGTGAGGTAAACTTCTGTGTGAGAGAAGCCTTGTGTGAGGCAGCTCCAATATAAAGGCTGCTTTGTGTATAAAGCTGCTATGTATTTGTTTATTCGTATTGTTGAAACCTTGCTATTGTAAATAGTGCAACTATATTATTTTACTACAAAGAAAAGCCTTCTATGGAAAAGAAAACATTGGGTTTTTGTTCTTTTTGTCACTTTGGGCTATTGGTGCTGGGTCACGACGCTGCTGCTGAGTTGCTCTGCTGTCCATTTTTGAGGAGGGTCTTTTGTTCCTAAGCCCACAAAGTCTCCATAGGAACCACCAAATGCAGCAATGCCCAAACACGAATCAAGGAACATGACAGGCACTGCAGACCGATCCAACCTGAGAAGTCGGCCATCGCAGAGCACTTGATGAACCCACCTGGGCACAGCGCATTATTTGGAGAACACAGAAATGCTGGGCAACTCTGACATCCAGACTACACAGAAAAGGCATTGAAATCCACAAGCGTGTGGACAATTTCAACAGAAAGGAGGAAATCTTGAAAATGAACAAAATCTGGCTACCGCTATTTGAAAAACTCTCAAATCAGGACAGTAAATAAAGAGCAACACTCAAAAGGTCTTCCAGACAGGAAATAATCAGGGTCAGCTAACACCTCCCAACAAAGGATTCCCCTGAGAAGTCGGCCATCGCAGAGCACTTGATGAACCCACCTGGACACAGCGCATTATTTGGAGATCACAGAAATGCTGGGCAACTCTGACAACCAGACTACACAGAAAAGGCATTGAAATCCAAAAGCGTGTGGACAATTTCAACAGAAAGGAGGAAATCTTGAAAATGAACAAAATCTGGCTACCACTATTTGAAAAAACTCTAAAACCAGGACAGTAAATAAAGAGCAACACTCAAAAAATAGAGGAATTCCAGACAGGAAATAATCAGGGTCAGCTAACACTTCCCAACAAAGGATTCCCCCAGATAGGAAACAGCCAGGCTTTGAAGCTGCAAGGCCAATGGGTAAGTACATTTTATTGATTAGCCCATTGGCCATATCAAAGGCAAGGCCAATGAATGTTAATCAAGGTGGCCAATTGCAACATCCACACTTGCCTGAAGCACACAAGAATTCTTTCTCCCACCCTAGACATTCCACAGAAATGGCCTAGTTTCCAACAGACCTCACAACCTCTGAGGATGCCTGCCATAGATGTGGGTGAAACATCAGGAGAGAATGCTTCTGTAACATAGCCATACAGCCCAGAAAACTCACAGCAACCCAGTGATTCCGGCCATGAAAATCTTCGACAACACAGTGATCAATATTTCTTGCAATATAATTAACAGAGTTTATAGTTTTGTTCCTGTCCATAATATATGATGTTAAACCACCGTGGATATCATCAGAAGTAATGACACTTGATAGTCCCCCTCACTGGTCATACAACCAAATTGCAGGGTTCTGTTAGTTCAATGAAGGCAAACTTCCATTTTCACTTTCATTGTCATGCAGAGAATTATTGGGTTTCTGAGAATTATTGGGTCTCTGCAATGAAACTTTTCATTGCAGAGTGGGTTCTTTCATGTTTGATGAGGTTGGAGCGGTGGCCAAAGCTTTTGAAACAGATCATGCACTGAAAGGGCGTCTCCTTCGTGTGGGTTCTCTGATGAGATACGATTCCAGATTTGTCCCGGAAACGTTTGGGACAGAGGGCACACTGGAAGGGCTTCTCCCCAGTGTGGATCTTCTCATGCTGGACCAAGCCTGCATTCTGCGAAAAAGTCTTCCCGCACTCAGGACAGACATACGGCCTCTCTCCCGTGTGGGACCTCTGGTGCTTCCGGAGGGATGACGAATCCCCAAAGCTCTTTGAACAATCCTCACACTTGTATGGCTTCTCACCGGTGTGGATCCTCTCGTGTACAATAACATTCGTGCGGTGACGGAAAGTCTTGCCACAGGTTGAGCAAGGGTATGGTTTCTCTTCCGTATGGATTCGGCGGTGAACGTGGAAAGCAGACATGTTCCGGAAGCCCTTTCCGCAGTCGGGGCATTTGTGCGGCTTCTCGCCTGTGTGGATTCTGGTATGTCGAACAAGGTCATACCTTTGGATGAAACTTTGGCCACATTCTTCGCATTGATGTGGCTTTTGTTTCATGTGTATCTTCTGGTGGCACACCAGCCCCGCTTTCCGACTGAAACCCTGACCACAGTCGGTGCAAGTAAACACCTTTGGCTCTTCCAGATGGGTTTTTTCATGGGCCTCAAGAAAGGACGGCTCGTTGAAACCCTTCCCACATTCTTTGCATTGATGAGGTTTCTGTCCTTTGTGTCTTTTCTGGTGAGACACAAGCTCCGCTTTCTCAGTGAAACCCTGACCGCACTCGGCGCAAGGAAAAGGTTTCTTCTCTTCCGCGTGGGTTTTTTCATGGGCCACAAGGATGGAATACTCATTGAAGCCCTTCCCACATTCTTTGCACTGATGGGGCTTCACTCCTGTATGTACCTTTTGATGAGACATGAGCCCTGCTTTTCTGCTGAAACTCTGACCGCACTCAGCGCAAGTAAAGGGGTTCTCCTGCGTGTGGGTTTTTTCATGGCTCACAAGAAGGGATCGCTGATTGAAGCTCTTCCCGCACTTCGAGCAGTTGAAAGGTTTCACTCCTGTGTGGATACTCTGGTGTTCCATCAGGACATCAATGCCGGGGAAGCTCTCCCCACAGTCCCAGCATGTGAATGGATTCTCTACCGAAGCAGGATGAAATTGAATAGCTTCAGCTTTTTTGCTACTGGGACAAGGTTTTTTCTGACTCTCTGAACCTTCTCCTTTATTGGGATTCTGGGAAACGGTTTCTTCTGATTTTCCTGGAAGCATCCAAGGGGTTTCAATACCACTAGCATCTACTGGTAGGTCCTTCTCCTTCCAAAACGGCCTCCCATCACCTGCTGGATTAAGGAGAGAACCCTTACAGTGCAGAACTTCCCTTCGCCAGGGAGAAAGGAAGGCTTGGAGCACGCCCAAGTATTTATAATGAATCATTTCCACATTATGTGCATCAGGTTGGGAACGGCTGCCGCAAGCAGAGTCTTCCCTGACCTGAACTCTTATTGAAGAAGGTGTAGTTTTAGAAAGGCTGCTCCCCCTCCCAATTTCTTATGTTCAAGACTACAAGATAAATAACCAGAACCTCCCCAAAACAATGTTGGCACAACTGTGGGAAAACTGGAACTTACACTCATATGTGGTGGGATTGTGAAAAAGTTCCATAAAATAATTAAGAAGGAAATAGAGGAACTATTAGGGATAAAAATAGATTGGAACAAGACACATTTTTTCCTCCAGAAAATTGAAGGCGATCGAAAGGGGGATCTAAAAATGGGTGGTATAAATAAATTATATGTTAGATGCAATTAAACCCTCAGTCACTTTAGGCTGGAAGGACCAAAAGAAATGGGACACAAAAGAATGGTTTAAATATTTAGCAGGCTACCTCCTCCAATACTACATTAGCGAAATGAAAAGTTACTATAGGATGGGCCAAATCAGAAAGCCATGGGAGGCAAAATGGAAAGGCTTAATTTACAGAATAAAGGGGAAAGATAAATATAAGGAATTAAACAAGATTATCCTCATGACCGAACAATCGTAATCAGTACAGCAAAATTTGTAAACTGCTCCCAGGGAAGGGAGAAAGGAGAAATGAAAATGTTCTGAATGTTTGTATAATTTTGTATAGCACTATTCACAATAATTCTGAAAATAAAAAGGCAAAAAAGAGACTAGAAGATAAGACCAGTGTTTGGCAGCCGCCCTTGAGACACAGCCATTTCATTTTAACAGGAGATGCCAAGCATTCAGCCTGAGAAGTTGTGTGTGCAATGTAGGCAGCTTTATTCTCTGAGGTATAGGCTCCTTCCCAAAGTCTCTTTTTTCCCATGTCTGGCACTGACATTTTCCATGATGGTAGCAGTGGGCCTTGCCAGGTTGCTGGTGCCCCAGTGGCTGCCCAGGGATGCCAGCTGCCAATCCCAGCCTTCAAGAAGGGTAACGGAAGTTGGCACTTGTGAAACATATATAATTGTCACTGAAAGTATGTCTTATATCCAATTCCGCTGTGACCCACTCACCAACCACATATACTGAACCTACATGTCCCTGAACCTAGTGACCTAGTGGATTATAAACCACAAAATCCTGAGTCCCCTTTGGAGTTGAGAAGGGCAGTATATAAATGCCGCAAATAAATAAATAAATAAATAAATAATAAAATATGAAGATACAGTAGAGTCTCGCTTATCCACCATAAATGGGCCGCCAGAATGTTGGATAAGCAAAAATGTCAGATAATACAGAGGGATTAAGGAAAAACCTATTAAACCCGAGCAAGGGTGCTTGACATAACTCCCAGGCTCCTCCCGCACGCGACTTCCCATTCCTTGCCTCCCACCTTCAGTGCCCACTGTCTTCCTTTCTTTCTATCCCTCCTCTTCCATAAAGCAAACATTTCCATAGCTAGCGAGAGAGGGGGGCAGGCAGGGCTGTAGGGAGGGAGGTGAGGTGAAAATGGGTGCCAGGGTCAAGAGCGCCAGAGAGCGAGGCTGGTGGAGAAGCCAGGACAGCGGGCAGCCTCGGCAGGGCTTCCCTGAAGCCTCGTCTGGGCTGAATGCGAGGCACCAAAGAGAGAGACAGCAAAGAAGGAAGCAGAGTCCGGAGCAGGAGCCAGAGAAGGGAGGGAGGGAGGGAGGGAGGGAGGGAGGGGAGCCTCATTGCAATTGTCTGAGAAAGAGCCTTGTTTTTTATTCTTTTAGGCCAGAAGCAGCCAAGGCACGTCAGATAATGTGGAATGTTGGATAAGTGAAGGTTGGATAAGCGAGACTCTACTGTACAATAGAGGCGTTGTGTGGTTTCCAGGCTGCATGGCCATGTTCTAGCAGCATTTTCTCCCGATGGCCTAGACCAGTGGTTCTCAACCTGTAGGTCCCCAGATGTTTTGGCTTTCAGCTCCCAGAAATCCTAACAACCAGTAAAACTGGCTGGGATTTCTGAGAGTTGTAGGCCAAAATACCTGGGGACCCACAGGTTGAGACCACTGGCCTAGAACATGGCCTGTACAGCCTGGAAACTACACCGCACCCCAGTAATTCCAGCCATGAAAGCCTTTGACAATATAAGAGACAATAGATTGGTGAGCCTTTACGATGTCCCAAATCCCTTTGTTTTTATACTGCTGCACTGGACTAACACTGCCACCTCTTTAGAAACCAGGGATTTGGAGATCTCTCACATCCTTTGCCCATGTCACCATGAAGCAGCTTCACCCAGCCAGGTGTCCTCTGAGTGTGTCAGATTACAATTCCCAACTATTTAATCTAACCCTCCAAGAGAACACTGGGGTAGAATTGAAAGGAACAAAGTTCATCTGATGTAGGAATCCTTACCCAGCAATGTGAGGTTGGGACTTTCCACTTCTTCCTTGTTGCCTCTGAAAAGCGGCCAGTTGATGGAGTCCAACATAAGTTTCTTGGACGAATCAGCTGATGCGTCACCGAAAGGCCACAAAACCTGAAGCAGGAATCCAACAAGAAAAGAAGTGAAGGCATTTAATTTGTGCCAAAGTAAGGCTTCAAAAGATTATCTTCACTTCCAGCTCTCCCAGGAATCTTTCCTGGACTTGCTCAGACTACATCATCCCAAATACATGTCGCTGTCATCTGAGATTAGAGGCTATCAGACAGTACTGGGATTCTCCATGACAGGCTGGAGAAGAATCCTAAGACCCTGAATGATGAGGAGCCATTGAGTATGGCATACTGTCAAGATCTTTTGCATGAGTCTTGCCTTGCTTCCTTTGAGGCATGATGACATTCTGTTATGTATAAGTATATACTGCTATTACATATGACATTCTGCTATTAGACCCCCCCCCCCTCCGGTGGCGCAGCAGGTTAAACTGCTGATCTACTGAACTTGCTGACCAAAAGGGGAGCGTGGTCAGCTCCTGCTGTTAGCCCAGATCCTGCCAATCTAGCAGTTCGAAAACATGCAAATGTGAGTAGATCAATTGGTACCACTTTGGCGGGAAGGTAACGGTGCTCCATGCAGTCATGCCGGCCACATGACCTAGGAGGTGTCTATGAAGCACCAACCCCAGAGTCCGACACAACTAGATTTAATGTCAAGGGGAAACCTTTACCTATCACATATATCCACACTGTATCTGTAAAACACTGTACTGAATCACTGAATTAGCTATTCAGTTACTTGCTTTTCACATTTTATATATGTAAGAGAAGCATAGACTGTGTGTTTGGCAATGTTAACGAAAATTGTTGGTTACAGGCTGGTGTGACAAAACTTCATTATATAGGAATGCTTATCAGTGTTTAGAGCGATGTATGGGCTTGTGTTCCTGTGTGAAGCTTAGTCCAGGGGGAAGACCAAAGATATTTGCACTACCGGGTCAATCAGGGAAAAGACTGTCAAAAGTATAACATATATAGCATATTGGAGTGAAAGTCTATAAAATACATTTTTTTCATCACATAATAGTCACACTTTTTTCATTAACAATTACACATGGAAAAAAGTTTGCCTTCGATTATCTAGTTCAGTAGTTCTCAACCTTTACTTGACCAGAGACCACTTTGACCAGGGACCACTCTCCAACATTAGTACCAAAAGGGTTACAAATCAGTTTTTGGTCAACTTTAGATTTGATATGGTTATTTGGGGTGCTGATTCAGAAAATTGCATTGGATAGACCACATTAGTTCTAGTTTCTGATACAGAACATATGCCATCCAGTAGTCACCATCTGCTCACCCACAGAAAACCATATTTAATAATCTAGAGCTGATGTGGTCTTTTGTGGGTCATCGTCCTCTACCCTCCCAACATCCCTGTTGCCTCTGAACTAGGTTTCACGAGACCAGTCACTCTTGTTGCTGTGTGGTTTCGAGGCAACAGTGACCATATTTTCCTTCTTGGGGACCACTGGTGGTCCATGGACCACAGGTTGGGAACCACTGTTCTAGTTTCTGGTTTTTGAAAAAATACAATGCAGTACCTCCAAAAGGCGAGGAGGTGGAAGGATGATTCAGCCTCCAATGAAGTGCTCCATCTATTGGTTTATTTTTTAAAAAAAACTCAGAGCTATTTGGGGCTGATTCTCCCTTTCTTCCTTCTTTCTCTGAAGGCAAAGCAGTTTAAAAATAATGAAATTCAGGTCTCTGGATCGCTACTTTTCCCTCCTCTTTCCATAGCAAGTAAGTGTGAAAAACCTGAAATACAATTCTTTGGAGACAGGAGGAGAAGATCCAAGTACTTGAGATCTCAATTTCAGTTTTTTTTAAATGGACTTGCCTTGAAAGAAGAAGAAAGGAGAGAAGAGTGGAACTTCAAAAAATCTCAATTTGATAGTTTTTAAACTGCCTTGTGTCAGAGTATATTGGATCACAGCAGAGAAAAAAGGGAGAATCAGTCCTAAATGGCTCTGCGACTATTATGCACTGGCGACTTTTATGCAATTAAAAACAGCTATTTAAATTATGTTACCTATAAATCTATGATGCTTGGCAGTTCAGTCCTGAAAACAACCATGATAGAGGACATTTAAATAAGTCTTCCTCGATAAGAAAGCTCTACTACGTCAGAGTGACCTTATTTTCTGGACAAAGGAAGTCTGCATCTGACAAAGACTGCATCTCACAGTGGCCTGTCAGAAGCAGAAGGTCAACAATTTTTTTCCTGTTGTTTTCCTTCCTTAAAACATATAATATGGCTCTGGTTGAAGGTTCTGTATAAAGGCATTTTTTTAAGGGAGAAGAGAATCTGAAAGAAGGTAGACTTCTAACTCAATAAAAGCTGAATATGGTCAATGGTCACAGAGCACTAATAATAATAATAATAATAATAATAATAATAATAATAATAATAATGAGATTGACAGGCACAGCAGGCCCTCCACCTCCACAGGGTGTTAGGGGCGCAGGACCCCTGTAAAAGTGGAAAAACCACAATTTTAAAAAATACTGTTTGTTTTACCTGAGAGAATACCTCTCTAGAAATCTCTAGGTTCTCCAGTACTATTCTATAGATCTTAGAGTTGTGCTTGAAGACTTGGACTCACAGTAGTTCCCAACCTTTGGTCCTCCAGGTGTTTTGGACTATCAAAAATATTTTAAATTAACTGGTATTTTTTATTATAAACGTGTGACTCAAGCATTGAAAGAGTTAGTACTCTGAAGCCTGTTAGAGTCAGTGGGACAAATCTAGTGTCGTCCTGAGGAGAGTGAGTAGGCCAAAGCCTATTAGAGTTAGTTGGCCAAAGCTAGTGTCGTCCTGAGGAGTGTGAGGTAAACCTCAGTGTGAGAGAAGCCTTGTGTGAGAAAGGTCTGTGTATAAATTACTCTGCTGTATATTTACGAGGAGGGTATTTTGTTAATAAGCCCACCCGCCTAACAGTGTTCTCTCAAGTACAAAGAATAGAGGGGTTTTAATTTTTGGATCCCCCCCCCCCCAATTTTGTTAGGGTTCTGTAATCCTAACGCCAGCTAATGTGGAGGGCCTACGGTTTAATTGGTAGAGGGCACTTAACATGGCATTTGTTTTTCCAAAAAAAATTCATCAATTTTCCCCAATAAATGCAAGGAAAAAATGGTTGCCCCCATGGCTTCAAATTTTTCAGAAACCTCACACCTTTGCTCTCACCTGTCGGCCTCGTGGTGTGTTCCCTTGCTGCTTAGCCAGGAAAGCCTCAGCCAAGCCAATGGCCTGAAAGCACGTCTCTGGGCGTCCATCCCGGACCCAGCTTTGCATTTCGCGGGGCAAGATGGCCAGGAACTGCTCCAGGATCACCAGCTCCAGGATCTGCTCCTTCGTCTTCTTCTCCGGCTGCAGCCACCGCCGGCAAAGCTTCCACAGCATCCCGCAAACCTCTCGGGGCCCCTCAGCATCCTGGTAACAGAACTGCCGAAAACACTGGCGCTCGATGTCTAGGGTGGCACCCCCTTCATCTGGAGTATCTTCCTCCACCACTTCCATGAAGTCTGGCTCCTCCTTGGACAAAGGGATGTTGACCGGCTGCTGGATTTCCCCTACAGTTTCAGACAGTGGTTGGGTTTCTCCACTTTGCCCAGGCTCCAGCTCGGCATCTGATGCTTCTTCATAGGGAGAGGAATCTCCCTGTGAGACGTCCCTTGATCTCTTTCTCAGCAGCTGCTCATGTTCTTGATCAGAGTCAGGTGTGTCTTCAGTCCTCTGGAATGCCAGCCCTTGGGTTCCAGAGCCTTGTGCCAGCTCTTCTTCAGTATCTTCTAATGCTTCATCCGGTTCTTCTTCAGCATCTTCTAACGCTTCTTCTGGTTCTTCTTCAGCATCTTCTAGCGCTTCCTCTGGTTCTTCTTCACCATCTTCTATCACTTCTTCAGCCGCCTCCCAGGATTCCTTAAACCCCCCAAAATGGATGACTGGAAGAGCTTGGGCTGTTACTCCCCTCTCTACTTCAGGTTCCACCAGGTCCTGTGGCTCTACCTTCACACCATGTGGCTCTAACTTCACATCACGTGGCTCTACCTTCACATCATGTGGCTCTACCTTCACATTATGTGGCTCCACCTTTACATCATGTGGTTCTACCTTCAATTCCCGTGGCTCTAACTTCACTTCATACTGTGTCCCCGCATCCCTCTGGAGATCTCCAAATGTGGCACCCTTGTATTCTTCTGCCATTGTTATTCTTGCTGCCAACGCTTGGCCCAAACTGGTCCTGGGAGAGTCCCACACACAATTGATCTGTCTTTCGCAGTGATCCTGAATGTAGAATCTGAGCCTGACTCGTGTTTAGTCCTTCTACCTATAAAAAAGATTCAAGAGTCAAAGAAAACATGAAAGGGAGAGTCACTCAACATGTCCATGCTTTGGTTTAGTAAAGTAAGACCCACACAACCCATATTCACAGTTTCACTTATTCATGCCTGGAGAAAAAAAAAGGCCTCTTCAGGAATTTGTCAAGCACTTCTACGGAATGCTTCACCTCAAAGTAACTATAGACTTATATAGTTCCTCAAGGACCTAGCAAATTCCTATAGAAGATACCTCCCTTGGAATCTCTAGGTATCAATGTGACTCAAGGATACCATTGAGTTATACCACCACGATCACAGAATCACAAAATTGTATGTTGTTGGGTTCAGATTAGTCAGCCATCCAGGTTTACAGATTTGATTTTTCACGGATTTCATTAAAATGTTCTAACAATGTCTAGATCCTCAAGTGTGGCTCTCTGGTCAACTTCTACCACAGAGTTGTGATGGAGGACCTAGAGATCCCTAAAGAGAATGTGCAGGTCTCCCAGAGTCATTCTATGCTCAATTATCAGAAGAAGTGGACCACAAATTTGAACTGGAGGATCTAGAGGTTCATGGGAAGCTGTTGCTTTTAGGTAAAACAATAGCTCAAAATAATGGAAGGGTTTGAACTAAAAGAACCAGCCTTTTTTGGCCCAGGCTGAGGGAAGGAAAAGGAACAAAGCAGATTGGTGGTGGCTAGGGGAAGGGAAGAAGGAAAGAAAGAAAGAACACAACAAAAGGGAGATCGAAGAGAGGGAGGGGAAAGAAAGAAAGAAAAAGGAAGGAAGGAAGTTAGTGAAGGAAGGGGGTAAAGATATAAGGAGTGGGAAGGAAAGAACATGAAAGAAGGGAAGAAAGAAGGGATGGAGGGAGGGAGGGAGGGAGGGAGGGAGGGAGGGAGGGAAGAAAGAAAGAAAGAAAGAAAGAAAGAAAGAAAGAGGGAAGAGAAAGCAGAGAAGGAAGGAAGGAAGGAAGGAAGGAAGGAAGGAAGGAAGGAAGGAAGGAGAGAGAGGGGAAGATGAATGAGGGAAAGCAAGGGAAGAAGGAAGAAAGAAAACCTGGGCAATGCCTGGTGTATACACTAGTAGTTTATTAAACCAGAGCTGTGGCTTAATAAGCTACTGGCAATTAGAAATAACCTCGGATTAATATATTGGATTAATATATTAATATATTAATTAATATAATTAATATATTAATATATTGGATTAATATATTAATATATCGGATTAATATATTAATATATTGTTGAAGGCTTTCACGGTCGGAATCACTGGGGTGTTGAGTGGTTTCCAGCCTGTGTGGCCATGTTCTAACAGCATTTTCTCCTGGTGTTTCGCCTGTATCTGTGGCTGGCATCTACAGAGGATCTGATGTTACCATCAAATCCTCTGAGGATGCCAGCTACAAATGAAGGTGAAACGTCAAGAGAAAATGCTGCTAGAACACAGCCGTACAGCCCGGAAACCATACAATATCCTTTGATGAATTAACTACTAAGAACTGTGCAATATACTGGAAAAGTGGACAAAGAATCACTTGTCGCCTTTAAGACTAAGAGAATTTATTATAACATGAGTTTCATGGATTACATTCTACCCCGTTAAATGCAAAGAGGATTAGTTTAGAGTTCCAGAGGTATCTACAGTGTACATGCTTGAGGAGTGGGACAATGGCGTGAAATCCATGCTAAACTGGATGTAAATACCGGAAAATACCGGAAATGGTAATAGTACAGGCAGTCTCAGAGTTATAAACATCCTATTTACAAATGACTCATACTTACAAACAGGGGTGAGAACAATAGGAAGTGAGAGAAATCTGTCCCTAGGAAGGGAAATCTACTCCTGGGAGACTTCTCATGGAAGAAAGGTGTCTCCACTGAAGCTTTATTACCAGTCCTTGTTTCCACAACAAGCCAAATTTTAAAATCCAGCTATCACAAGGACGGAACATGTGGTGAAATCTTCTGAACATAGGCATAGACAGCAAAACAAACACCACAGGGGTGTTAAACCTTCCCTATCCAAAACTTTAATTGCTGTACATACTCGACTATAAATCTAGTTTTTCAGCCCTTTTTAGGCTGAAAAAGCCCCCCTAGGCTTATATTCGAGTCAAAGTTATTTATTATTCTACTCTGTTATTATTATTATTATTACATTTATTGTTTTATTCTATTATTATTACATTTATAATTTAATTTTATTATTGTTACTGTTACATTTATTATTTTCCTATTTATATTACTCATTATTATTATTATTATTATTATTATTATTATATGTATTAGTTTATTATTACTGTTATTATTACATTTCCATTATTTTACTCTATTATTATTGTTACATTTATTAGTTTATTATAATTGAAAGGATACGTCAGCACATTTACATTGAAGAAGGTTAGAAGAATGGTTTAATCAGAGTTGGACATTCTTATCTTAAATTACAGTTTTATGTGAATATTCACAAAGCTTTAACTTATGGATGCCTCAATTAATGTAAATTTATTGATATTTATTTTTATTTTGAAATTTACTAGTAGCTGCTGCATTTCCCACCCTCAGCTTATACTCGAGTCAATACGTTTTTCCAGTTTTTGTGGTAAATTTAGGTGCCTTGGCTGATTTTCGGGTCGGCTTATACTTGAGTATATTGACAAGCTGGAATGTGGCCAGAGGAGGGCGACTAAAATGATCAAGGGTCTGGAGAACAAGCCCTATGAGGAGCGGCTTAAGGAGCTGGGCATGTTTAGCCTGAAGAAGAGAAGAATGAGAGGAGATATGATAGCCATGTATAAATATGTGAGAGGAAGCCACAGGGAGGAGGGAGCAAGCTTGTTTACTGATTCCATGGAGATTAGGACAAGGAACAATGGCTTCTAACTACAAGAAAGGAGATTCCATCTGAACATGAGGAAGAACTTCCTGACTGTGAGAGCCGTTCAGCAGTGGAACTCTCTGCCCCGGAGTGTGGTGGAGGCTCCTTCTTTGGAAGCTTTTAAACAGAGGCTGGATGGCCATCTGTCAGGGGTGATTTGGATGCAATATTCCTGCTTCTTGGTAGGGAGTTGGACTGGATGGCCCATGAGGTCTCTTCCAATTCTTTGATTCTATGATTCTATATACAGTATGTAAACTTTCTGGCTGCTGGCTTCCAGACCCATAAAAAGAAAAAAGCATATATCCTGTTTCCCTGAAAATAAGACCTACCCTGAAAATAAGCCCTAGCATAATTTTTCAGTATTTTTGAGGATGCTCAAAAGATAAGCCCTACTTCAAAAATAAGCCTACTTACAATTAAATAAAATATATCAATTTGAGGTCAAAGGCATCCCCTGAAAATAAGTCCTAACACATTTTTTGTAGCAAAAATTAATACAAGACCCTCTCTTATTTTCAGGAAAACAGGGTATCTTTAATAGTTAATGGTAATTATGGTGATTATATGAAGTCTAGGTAAATACATTTATGTTGGAGAATCTTCTAAATATGTTTGAATCAGAAATACAAACTTCGACCTTAAATTCAAATTATACATAAGATCTTAAAGATCTTAGTGCAAACAACAAAAATTGTACATAGGCATTGAGCCTGTTGTTTCCTCTAAAAAGGGAACTGACAGCCTAAAGATCATGTGTAAAACTTTAATTTAAAATAGAATATGCATCTCTAAATAAAAAGGTTATAATTTGTCGCTGGACAGAACGTGGCGGTGAAGTGCTAAACAAAAGCCACGTTGTATTGTCAAAGGCTTTCATGGCCAAAATCACTGGGTTGTTGTAGGTTTTTTCGGGCTATATGGCCATGGTCTAGAGGCATTCTCTTCTGACGTTTCACCTGCATCTATGGCAAGCATCCTCAAAATGCCACATTGGCCCAAATCTGGTTTTGAAAACTTCAATACACTGACTCATTCCCCTCAAGCACCAGAGACTTATTCATGTAGAAACTCCAAAATTGTAGGAATAATTGCAGAAATCTTCTTGTTTGCCATCTTTGCACGATTCCTGCCAGGAATTTTTTTTCATCAGCCACTTTGAACGGCACGAAGACATGATTTTTGCTTTGAGTCATAAGGTGGGATGCCTCATGTATATTTATTTGTACCTATAATTTTCATCTGTTTTAATCATGTCCTGTGTCTTTTAATACCCTATTTCTTTGATTCTAATACACACACACCCCACCCATATAAACATCACTAAAATTGGAATGCATCTTAGTATTACAGGTCCGTTTCCTATCTATCTATGAAAATATGTGAAAATATGTATGTGTGTGGATGGGGTGTCCACACAGACAGGCTTCCACTTTCACAAGTAACTATAGCTCCCACTACTCAGGAGACACCAATGGCCCTCCTCCAATGACTTTGCAGGTTTAAGAGAACACCATAAACATGTCTAAGAGCCCTGCCAATGTGCTCCACAAACACCATAGTGCCCACCACCCAAGTGAAGAATTTCATTCAGGGTCAATTTCATCCCAGATTTTCTGTTTTTCCTCTCTCTTCATTGTAGTGCAGCCGGCTGAGTGTCATCTGCATTAAGATCACTCTGACCAAAAGGTCATGAGTTCGAAGCCAGCCCGGGTTGGAGTGGGTTTCCAACCAATTGTGTAGCCTGTTGTCGACCTTTGCAACCCGAAAGACAGCTGCATCTGTCAAGTAGGAAAATTAGGTACCACTTTAAAGTGTGGGGAGGCTAAATTAACTGATTTATGAGGCCATAAAGAAGACTCCAGCAAAGCATTCCAGCGGGGGAGCATGCGGGGAATTCGGAAGTGCTTCATCAGCGTCGCAGATGGACGATGAAAGCAACAGCTCCCCGGCGGCCAGAAAAGGTTAAATAGCCTCTGTGTATGTCTGTATATGTTTGTATGTCAAAAATTGGCATTGAATGTTTGCCATATATGTGTACACTGTAATCCACCCTGTGTCTCCTGCGGGGTGAGAAGGGCGGAATATAAAAAGCTGTAAATAAATAAATAAATAAATATTATTACATTTATTAGTTTACCATATTACTACTGTTATTATTTCATTTCCATTATTTTACTCTATTATTATTGGAAGGATACGTAAGCACATTTACATTGAAGGTTAGAATAATGCTTTAATCAGAATTGGACA